CCCATGTGGAGAAAGTAAAACATTAATATAATGCCCATCTGAGAAGGCCTTCAACCAAAAACAACACTCTTCTTTTGGGAGATGGCGTTGGTTAATACTCACTGACAGGCATAATATTAGTGGTTTTAAGTTAAAGCCTAGTTATGAAGGCCCTGCTAACTGTCAGTTTGTCCTAAGCAGCAAAGTGGGTCAGTTCATATTAGATGACGGTGCATAGCCATTCTCCCACATGCAAAGACATCCCTTTTGAACTGCGTACAATTTGTTAAAAGGATTAAGGATTAGAAATGTCCCATTAGGCATCAGAATCCTTTTAACCCGCATAAAGGTATTATCAAAAGCTGGGGTCTGACACAGTGCTAATAGTGAAATTACACAGCTGTCTTTAATCCCGACTGTGTCTTCACCATGTATGGTGGAGCATAAGGCGGGTTTTCCCAGAGCACTTTTAAGGTCTCTGTGTGGCATTTCCCCTGGTAGCTGTTGGTGTGATATGACACTCGAGTTGGATCGAGTGTAATAATACATTAGTAATGCAGATCAGACACAAGCTATACAAGAAATGTGGATCCGAGAATCTGCCTGCTTCCAAAATTCAGTTGATCCACATTTTTAGCATGCATAAATCACTAAGATTTCTCTTATGCATTATTTATGCAAAATTATGCTTATAACTCCATACTGGTACTCAGGTTGTTGCACTCTGCTTATCGTGTTGTTTTATTACTTGTTATTCTTTTTCGTTAAACAAACCTATTCATTGATTACTTTTTAAAAACATTTGTTTGTTTTTGTTTTTTTTTTCATTATTCTGTCTCTTTTCGCTCCGGGACCGTGTGTACATAATTTTGTTCCACCTCATGTTAACATGTGATGCAAATGACAATAAAGCTCCTTGAATAAATTGCATATACAGTGGGGCAAAAAAGTATTTAGTCAGCCACCGATTGTGCAAGTTCCCCCACCTAAAATGATGACAGAGGTCAGTAATTTGCACCAGAGGTACACTTCAACTGTGAGAGACAGAATGTGAAAAAAAAATCCATGAATCCACATGGTAGGATTTGTAAAGAATTTATTCGTAAATTAGGGTGGAAAATAAGTATTTGGTCACCTCAAACAAGGAAAATCTCTGGCTCTCACAGACCTGTAACGTCTTCTGTAAGAAGCTTTTCTGTCCCCCACTCGTTACCTGTATGAATGGCACCTGTTTGAACTCATCATCTGTATAAAAGACACCTGTCCACAGCCTCAAACAGTCAGACTCCAAACTCCGCCATGGCCAAGACCAAAGAGCTTTCGAAGGACACCAGGAAAAGTATTGTAGACCTGCACCAGACTGGGAAGAGTGAATCTACAATAGGCAAGCAGCTTGGTGTGAAAAAATCAACTGTGGGAGCAATCATCAGAAAATGGAAGACATACAAGACCACTGATAATCTCCCTCGATCTGGGGCTCCACGCAAGATCTCATCCCGTGGGGTCAAAATGATCATGAGAACGGTGAGCAAAGATCCCAGAACCACACGGGGGGACCTGGTGAATGACCTGCAGAGAGCTGGGACCAAAGTAACAAAGGTCACCATCAGTAACACACTACAACGGCAGGGAATCAAATCCCGCAGTGCCAGACGTGTTCCGCTGCTGAAGCCAGTGCATGTCCAGGCCCGTCTGAAGTTTGCCAGAGAGCACATGGATGATACAGCAGAGGATTGGGAGAATGTCATGTGGTCAGATGAAACCAAAGTAGAACTTTTTGGTATAAACTCAACTCGTCGTGTTTGGAGGAAGAAGAATACTGAGTTGCATCCCAAGAACACCATACCTACTGTGAAGCATGGGGGTGGAAACATCATGCTATGGGGCTGTTTTTCTGCCAAGGGGACAGGACGACTGATCCGTGTTAAGGACAGAATGAATGGGGCCATGTATCGTGAGATTTTGAGCCAAAACCTCCTTCCATCAGTGAGAACTTTGAAGATGAAACGAGGCTGGGTCTTCCAACATGACAATGATCCAAAACACACCGCCCGGGCAACAAAGGAGTGGCTCCGTAAGAAGCATTTGAAAGTCCTGGAGTGGCCTAGCCAGTCTCCAGACCTCAACCCCATAGAAAATCTGTGGCGGGAGTTGAAAGTCCGTGTTGCTCGGCGACAGCCCCAAAACATCACTGCTCTCGAGAAGATCTGCATGGAGGAATGGGCCAAAATACCAGCTACTGTGTGTGCAAACCTGGTAAAGACCTATAGTAAACGTTTGACCTCTGTTATTGCCAACAAAGGTTATGTTACAAAGTATTGAGTTGTATTTTTGTTATTGACCAAATACTTATTTTCCACCCTGATTTACGAATAAATTCTTTACAAATCCTACCATGTGGATTCATGGATTTTTTTTTTTCACATTCTGTCTCTCACAGTTGAAGTGTACCTCTGGTGCAAATTACTGACCTCTGTCATCATTTTAGGTGGGGGAACTTGCACAATCGGTGGCTGACTAAATACTTTTTTGCCCCACTGTATGAGGCTTGACTGGCTCACTAATGAGCTCATCAGAATGAGGAAGAGTGTACCGAAATGCACACAGCACTGTTGAAGATATGTTTTTGTCACACTTGACAGACAGTGCGAAATTTAGTTGAGGTCAGTTGATTAATATAGCCCCAAATCACAATAATAGTATAATTGTGTATTATGGCGTAAAGACCCCATATTGAAAGAAAGAAACCCAGACAATCACCCCTCCCCTCTCCACAAGCAAGCACTTGGTGATGGTGGGAAGGGAAAAACTCTCTTAACAGGAAGAAACCCCCAGCAGAACCAGAAACACACTTGAAACGGTAGTGAGAGTAAAAACGTTTCTTATGTATACATTGCATATGAGTACTAGTACTGGATCATCAACGTATATGATACATTTCCTGTCAGTTGGTCATCTCTAATCTGAATGGCCAGTAGTAAATGCCAGTTTTAGGACCATAGAATCCAGTTCAACATTGTATGCTTGTTTTTCTTCTTTAGCTAATGTGTGTATGTTGTTTATGCTATAATATCTATAGTGTCTGAGTGGCTCCGGTTGCTTCCTCTTCTGGGCATCTTGGCTTTGCTCGGTTATCTCACCATTCGCCCCTTTCTGCCTAAGAAGAAGAAGCAGAGGGACAGCCTGATCAATCTGAAGATCCAGAAAGAGAACCCAAAAGTGGTCAATGAGATAGACATTGAGGACCTGAACAGCGCAAATGTGTGTTACTGTCGCTGCTGGCGTTCCAAAACTGTAAGTGTGTTAGTATTTTCTGAAGTATACTGTTAGTAAATCTAAATATTGTTCACACAGACTGCAGGATACATTTCTGTCTTATCCACATTATTATTATTATTATTATTATTATTATTATTATTATTATTGCTGCTTATGATTTATTGATAAACCCCTCTAGTTAAGCTGGGACAAGTGTTTGGGCATTTTACTTCTTGCTGATCAGTTAATATTGTTTCCTGTTTTAGTTTCCTGTATGCGACAAGTCACACTTAAAGCACAACGAGCTGACTGGAGACAACGTGGGACCGCTCATACTTAAAAAGAAGATACTATAATCGACCACTGATCAGATTTTTTTCTCTAAACAGTTTTTCTTGCTCTTGTCTTGGTGTTATATTTACTTAAAAATAGAAACCACACTCTGTTTGAAAGCTACATTTGGGATACTTTAATGATAGTTTGCAATAAGGGAAGTTTTTAAAAAATAAAAAAAGAGTAACTTCGTTTTTGTGTGGGCCTTTTTGTTCATTGTTCACGTTTGTTGTTTAACAGAGGAGCAGTTTTATTTGACTGGGACCACTTTGAGGGGGAAACTTGAAACATAACTGCATAATTGCAGTGACTTTATGATGCATTTATCTAATGTGAGGCCATCAGGCGAGAGGTTTTGCAGATAAATGTCTGTTTAAATGGAGTCCTCAAAACTAGTCTGACCCTCCTTCATTTTGGATGATATCGGACAGCTTTTTTTTCCCCTTCTCCTTTTTCTTTAATTCCTTTATTTTATTTGCTTCAGATATGTGTGCCAAATACTAACATTTCCATACTTAATGGATGTGACATATTTTAAGTTATTGTGTGTATGGGAAGCTACTTATTCTTTAAATCTGTTCTACTCATAGCCTTTAAATGTTGAGTTTCACATTTTGTATTCGGTTCTGTTGCCTTAATACATTTCAAACCACACAAGTAATTTCAAGATAAATCGTGTTTCACTAAACTTTCAAGGTTTGAAAATGTCTGTTTCCTTCGGCTTTTGTCATATCTGTATGAAGTTGTCTTGGAAAATTTTCTTCATTAATGACTGTCAATAACAAATCTGCATTTTGTTTGTTTGTTTTTTACAGTATAACTGTTCATGAGCTTTGCAAGATAATGGTGTGAATTTATTCATGCTAGATGTAGAAATAAAGAGAATTTTGGCATCTTTAAATTAATGAGATGTGTCTGCTTGTCACCTTTGGAAATAAAAGGTCTGTAAGGTTGTACTTAGAGAATGCTATTTTTTAAAAAAAAAAAAAATTTTAAGCGGCTATGTTTATTATATATATATATATAAAAAAAATTTTAAAGTCAGTTTTTCAGGCAATGGTGGTAATGGAAGGGAGCTACAAGAGTGTGTGACTTTTCAGAGGTGGACTTCATGCCAGTCCAACAAACATTGAGCTGTTAGTATTCAGAACAAGTCTTTTTATTGGCACTAGAAGGTTGAAGTTACCATAGTCAAAAATGATGTGGAAAAACCATCAGATTCACTAGACAACTGATAATTTTGGCCTTTTGGAAGCATAAATGTTGTTGGATCACCATTGATCTTCTCATATCATGAATGTCTACTAATTTTACAGCAGTCTAGTAGAGGCATTTGTTCCAGGCCCACACTGATGGCCTTACCCACAGATCCTCACTAGAAGCGCACCGCTAGTGTGACCAGAAAGGAAACTGCTCACACAACACTTTTGAATAATTTAAGCTTTTACTGCAGCAATGTTAAAGATGGACAATAAATTTACTTTTACATAGTATTTGGGTAAAATGGAAAAAAAAAATCATAAATAGCTGCTATTATGAAATCTTTTAAGTGAGGTCATATAAATTAAAGCAAAAGACATTTCATGTTGCACCAGATACATTCTGCAATTAAAAAAAAAACTAAGAATACTGAAAAATCTATATTTCTTCTTCAATTATAAAATGTTGGATTCATACAGTTTTGCAGATATGGACATGATCACACTGGCTGACATTTAGCAGCATCGTACTTAAACTAAAATATTATCAATTACACAAATCCTTCCCTGACTCTTTGCAAACTACGCAACTGATCTCACCATACTGACAGAGGGCTAATATGCATACACAAATCAAAGTAAACAAACACAGCATGAAGATGTAGGATGCCTAAAACTTGCATGTGGTTTTACAGTGTAGTCTACTCATAGCAATAAAAATTGCTTATCAACAACATCCCAAAACGTTCTCTGTCCCCCACGAAGAAAGCTGCTTTACTTTGACCTTTCAAGTCAAAGTAAAGTGCTTTCTTACTGGTAATCCAATCAAGAACAGTGGAAAAATTCTGGATTTAGTGAATATGACAAGATCCTTTTAAAAGTATAAACCATTTCTATACCTTGAAAACAATATGATTTTTTTTCCAGACAGTGCAATGTGGGTCATTTGTTTGCAGTGTTAGGCCTGGAAATCACCAGATGCTATAAATACAAAATGATTCACGTGTTCCTGCAGGACTGCGAACACAGAGAGCTGAACAACAGAGACACAGCGAGGGCCACTCGGTGGCCAAAGAGAAGTTCAAATATCTGAGGTGTGAGGAGTTTCTTTAATTCTCCTCTCTCACACTTGACATCAGAGTGTACTTTCATAGGTGACGGGAGTTTCATTGTCATCTTGATCTCCTGCTGCAGTGCCTAAGAAAGAGGAAGAAGAGACAGGGAGGAAAAAAATAATAAGAGTGAGAAAATGAAAGATTTAAAAAATGAAACTAGCTGCACTTTTTGCACTGTGAATAAATGTATTTACATGAACACAATACCACTGTTGTGTGCCTGTAAAAAATCGTGAAGCTGCTGAATGACACAGTGGCCCAAGCTATGCAAATCTTTATGTCATAAGGGTGTAGCAGGAAAAATATTAGGAAAGGAAAGGATACTCACTATTCAAACACACCTAGTTAGGTTAGCAAAGGTTGCTGAGCCAAGCTTGAATTTTCAAAAGAAAGACTTTACATACCTAGGAAGAAAGCTGATAAACTGGGTTTGACTCGCTCACCGCTGACTGGGTTCTCTGGCTTTTGCAGCAGGCGAGGGCCACACAGCCCTATGATAAGTGCGCCTACAGGGGCTGTGAGAAGGATGGCGAGCACAGCCACAGTCAGCACGTCCATGCCGTATTTCTGCAGCTGCTTGTCATCCTTTGTCCTCGCCATGTCCAAAGCTGTGGATCCTATAGCTGCCTGACAGAGACAAGCCAAGATGCGGCACAACCCCACAGACTTCAAAGACATTTAATGCATATGCTTTTCATTCAAAGGTTTGCTAAGGAGACATACCTGCACTGTTGCTTTAGGCATCCATGCTAGGGCTATGAACACTTTTTCCTTTATGCTAAAGCCCGCAAACAACACACAGACGAAGGTGAACCCCACTCTAACCAGCAGACCAATGAGGAGAGAGACGATACCCAGACCTAGAGACATGTAGAGGCAAAAGTCATACAAGGACAACAATATTATATGTACACCATATAAATCCCCCCCCCGCCCCCCCAAAACAAAATTACTGCAAGAAAATTATGTGCAGTGTCATTTCAGCTGCACTGACTCATGCAAAACAAACATGTCATAAGTTATTTAGTAAACTGCTATAGCTGTAAAGTGCTAACAAAGACAGAGGGATTAGTATTTACAGGACAGGAAGAAGCATCATATCTCTCACATTGCCTCTTTTTTTGGGTTATGCAAATATATTTTCATACACAGAGTAATATTTGAATTTTTCACAGTGATAACAGCCATCTTGCTGTGGGTTATTTTGAAGGCTGTTTGTGTGTGTGTGTCTGTTTATCTCACCAACTGTGTGTCCCTCCAACTCAGAGACTCGAATCTCAGCTCCTATCAGTCCAAAGAGAAGAGGCTGAAACACATCCCACGCCCACCCTATCACTTCTTCCACACGTGCCTAAGGACAAAGAATGTAGGACATGTTCACTGTTCACATTTAATTATAATATATAACAACCAAGTAGTTTAAGAGAAATTAGGTCTAAGATTTTGGACAGTTAGCCTCATTCAAATTCACCTCCAAAGTCAGAAAACTGCAAACAGACGTACTGATGTACTGTAGTTATTAGATGCATTATTTTTACCTTTTCTGTCCCCCAGCCGAGGCCAGCCAGGAATGCCAGCACCAAGGTGCACAGGCCTCCGGAGCCAGGAAAGCCTGCCACACCGCTGCCAAACACAGCAAAAACAGACAGACCCAGCACCAAGAAGGAACGCTTCATCACCAAGTGTTTCTAGAAGAAATAGTTAACAGTAGGTTTCTGGATAGCGAAAAGGATTACAATATGCATTATTTAACAAATAATAGCTCTAAGGTCTATAAGAAATCATTTGCAAAGAAGCTAGGACGTGTTGGTTCACAGCACTTTCACTTTTGATGAAGAAATAAATCCAATATGTAATCTAAAGCTACATAGTATCGAGGTTTTTAAACAACACATGCTGCCATTGAGATGACAGTAAGAGTCCTTGGGCTAAACTGGCCTGCTTAGTCCAAATATGCCCCCAGTAAAAACATGTGGCACATTCTGATGTAAAAAGGGCAAAATGAGCACATTAAAAATAAAACCTTTCACATCTGATACTTTTTCAGTTCACTTTTTCAGTTAACAGGGTTAAAATCTGCAGTTTTATTCTTATTATGTTTCCTATTCACACACCCAAACTTTTTTATGGAAAAAGGGTTATACTTTTGTGGAGATATCATCTGAATTTCAGGAGCGGGACCACTCCTCCTTCATGTCCCCTCTGGCCTCAGGCTATAAAAGCCCCCCTTCTCCAATACCCGCTGTTCTCATTTTCATGCTCCACCCTGTCCCCCCTTTTTTCTTTACTCTCTTCTCCTGTCCTCTCCTCTCTTCCTTTCCTCCCTTTATTTCTCGTTAGTACAGAGAGCCGTCGCCAGTCCCCTTCAAGGCCTTCCCCAAACCGCAGCACTAATCACACTCCCTCATCCCTCATTGCTCATCGTTACCAAGGGAGTGATCCCTGCTAGTGAATTATCCATACAAGCTTTTCCTGGCTGTTACTTTACCTGGTCAACACTAGGGAAGTACTGGATGAGAAAACCAAGAAGAATCCCAGCAACCATCCCTCCTGCCACCTCCAGCACCCCCCTGAGGAGGTTGTACCAAGTTGAACCTAGAAGAATCAATCAAAACAAACATTTGTGAAATTGTGAATTTCTAAAATATTTTAATTTGCCAGTTCAGAAACAAGTCTCTCTAACTAATGCAGCTTAATACAGAAGCCAGCAAACACTCAAAGTATATACTTTACACTTTCTTACACTTTATTTAGTGTAAGGAAGGCTTAACATGTTGGACATTTTGGCATCTACAGTTTGAGTGCTGTTGAATTACACCACAATAGAAAGAGTGTTGCAGCAATACAAAGGTAACCCTGTAAAAAATTCAGATTCTGCCATATATAATGAACTGGTGCCAGAACTCTGTATTAAGAGTAATCAGCACGCTCACACCCTCTGGTGACATCTTTACAAACTACAGCAAAAAGTTATTTTCTTCTATGCGTTTCTCTTCGGGAGATAAGGTGCTGTTGTGTGTCAAAGGCAAAACAAAGCGATAAATCCATCAATTCTTGTTTTCCTCTCACGGCTCCACACATGTAAACGCACAGAGCAGAGATTACCTGTGGCAAAGGCCATGCCCAAGCATGTTGTGAATCCTGTGATCGCAAGAATGTCATCAAAGCTGCCTGCAGCCATCAGCAGGGTGGGGATGCCCTTCTCTACACCGTAACCGTCCTTCTGCAGCAGGAGCATGGAGGGAACCACCACTGCTGGAGACACAGCTCCTAGCACGAAGCTGCAACGTGGAGAAGATAGAGGGTTCATTCATTCACTGATAAATGAAAAACTCCTGGGCAAGCTTTACAAACATTTGGTAAGAATTTATTATATCATAGTTAATAAATGGTAAATTAGTTTTTAAGCAAACAAATAGTTATTGTATTGTGAAGAAGATGACATTATAATAGATTGTTAATGATTAGCAGACAAAAAACAATTTAAAACTTGCCTGTATGTCATTAGTTTGTGTAATAATTATTTATTTTAAGAAACATATTCTGTTCTTGTATCAATGCTCATAAAATGCATTTAAACCACACGATGATACTAAACATCCATCCATCCATCCATTCGCTTCCGCTTATCCTTTTCAGGGTCGCGGGGGGCGCTGGAGCCTATCCCAGCTGTCATAGGGCGAAGGCGGGGTACACCCTGGACAGGTCGCCAGTCTGTCGCAGGGCTAACACACAGGGACAGACAACCATTCACACTCGCACATTCACACCTAGTGCAATTTGGATTATCCAATTAACCTATCCCCACAAGCTGCATGTCTTTGGACGGTGGGAGGAAGCCGGAGTACCCGGAGAGAACCCACGCAAACACGGGGAGAACATGCAAACTCCACACAGAAAGACCCCGGCCTGATGGTGGAATTGAACTCAGGACCTTCTTGCTGTGCGGCAACAGTGCTAACCACCGTGCTGCCCACTAAACATGTTATATAATATAATAATTGATCATGATAATAAGACATTACTTTACTTTTATAGTAATTGTGTTACTGTTCAATTGAGAAACATATTGCCTAACATTTATTTAGCTATACATTTACCATTTAACAAATGTTTATTATGACGTCTTACCATTTGGGTAGAAGCAAAAGGAAAAGTTTGAGCTGACTAATGTAAAGTGGAATTAGTAGAAAAAGATTTCTGTGGTTATGAACAGCTAACAGGGCCTTCTTTCTACTAAGTCATCCATTAACCACAACATGCAACACAAGAAGAACAAGCTATCTAGATGTAAAACCAGAGCTTCTTGTTTTTTTACAAATACTAATGCTCCACTTAATACCCTCAATGCTGATGAAGCAGATATGCATCTTATTTAAATTTCAGTTTTTGTGCTGTTCTTCATGTAAACATGTTCCTTATAACTGCAGTGTTTTGGTTTCTTTTTTGGGTTTTTTTTGCAGTGTTAGGTTTAATTTATCACAAAGTAAGATTTGACCTTCACTCAGCTCTCTAATGTCTCATGGACCCAGAGAGCTAAGTGGTCACATAATCCAAATATGAATATAACACAAAGTTAAGTTGCAGGTAAAATCCAGACAAAAACAGGACAAAGTCTGGTTCATTGGGCCCTAGTCACACAGGCCTTGACACCAATCAAGGACTTCCTAGCAGCTACCAGTCGCTGGGATTAAAATGTCTATTCCCTGACTAAGAAGATTTAAAAGTTGTGCCTTTTGAAATGTGTTGGTCTCAGTAGCAATGGCCAATCATCCTCCCTTTCTGGTTTGTTTCAGGCTTTTTTTAATGTTTCACTACCACTTGGCAAGTAGTTTGCAGCAATGTCAACATCTTTCATGCCAGTTACAGGTAGCCATGTCAATCTGCTAGCGATCACAGCAATTTCTGGGGCAGCACCTTCTTTGCGACTGATTTCACCCAGCGAGTCACCAAATACAAATTTTGTGTTTGTGACACACCTGGGGATCACGAATGAAACAGTAATTTTAAAGTATGTGTATAGATTTGCCATAGACATCAATCAATGGTGATTTTGGTTATGAAGTTGAAAAATAAGAGCTGGGTACACAGCAAGTGAGAGTAGTGTTGTATTTACCCAAGGATGAAGCCCCACACCCAGGGCAAGCCCATGAGGAAGTGAGAGATCACAGCTACGGTGCAAGCCTCTATCGAGCACGGCCCAGCTGCCACACGTATACACACAGCTTTTAGTTTCCTTAGAGCCTGATAACAGACACACACATCAAACAAGTTATTAGGTTCTGCACATCACTACAAAAAGCTTTAACAAGCATATTTAGTAGTACTGAATGATGAGGTAAATAACTGACTAAAACATGAACAGATTCTTCCTGTCATTTCTTAACCTCCGAGGACCTGGCATCCACATATGTGGACATCACATTTTGTGACCAAAATACTAAATTTTGCTGTACAAGGGCCTGATATCCACTTACGAGGACATTATACTACCACAGTTTTATCGAAATTTAAAGCGAATGTCCTCATATGTGGATCTCATTTTTCTCAGAAACAAAAATTAGGTAAAAAAAAAAAAAAAAAATCTTGTTATTCTTTGTTTTTACGTTCTTCAGGTCCCAATCAGCCCAAATGGCAAAGAGAAATTAAAAATGCATGCCATGAAAGAGTTTAGGTCTTAGAAGGTTTAATTAACTCTTCTTTTAACTACTTTAACCACTTCAACCAATGACATAGCTATCAGTGAGAATTTGCACCAGTATAACAATGGCAAGTGAAAAGAGATGAGATTAACATATAATTACTGTATTTCTACCTCTCAATGCCGATGTTAAGCTTGTATAGTATCTAGCATACCGTGGGATCCAACCCTAGACCAGCTCTGGCCAGAATGACAGCCAGAGCAATGTTCCTGAGAGATGCAGACCATTTGAAGTCAATGTACACCCCATCTGTAACAACTGGAATGTTCCTCAGCAGGAATCCCATGAGCAGCATACCTGCAGCAAAGCACAAGTGAGGGTGAGAAAGAGGAAAGCTGATCCTTATTACCATTAAGGTTTGTTTATTCTTTGAAGCTTTCTTTCATGTTGCTACAGAGAAAAAAAAAAACACAAGCTCACTGGTTGCTTTTTGAACACAGGGTGTTAGAATCAGATACTCTGCAAACTGTGAATGTTGAAACCCTAACACCAGAGGTTTCAACAACCCACAACCTCTTCTAAAACTTCTTGACTCGGATAATTGTTCGAGTCAAACAACGCAACATTAGTATTAATTAATTATCTATCTAAAAAAGCAGTAGAAAGGTTAGATTTTGGATCTACAGAGAAAGTCTTATGCTATAATAAGTGGGGGAAAAAAACATATGATGCACATATTCTAATGGGTTGCCAGACAAATATTCTACCATGGAAGCTAAGCACCATCCTCTAAATTTTATAACAGCATTCTAGTTAGTGGTTTATTGAAAGACTAGACAAACCAGAAACCTCAAAAATTAAAACCTAACTGTTAAGCAAAGCTCCTTTTTGAAGACTTACTGAAAATGAAAATGAAAAAACATGAACGAGATGTTTAGAGATGAAAACTTCTACCCCTCCCTATAATGTTATCAACTAAACAAGGAGTGGTTACAGTTTCCTTGATATTTATCAAGGAAACTGATCAAACGAGAGAGTCACATCACATCATGACAATGCACAGTGCAAATAACACTTCTGATGATCAGCACGTTTTCACCCCCTGAAAACTAGCAGCACAATTGGCATATCTTTTCAAGCCAAAGGTGCCACAATAATCTTTGCTGTGTAAAAATACAACAAAGAGATGCAAAACACAAACAAATCCAGAACATCAACGGATAACATGATTTTTAACTTTTCACATGGATAAACTTACAGTAACTTGACAACCTCATGCAAATTAAAAGTTTCTCAAAGAAATTCCAGCTTAGTCCTAGATGATGGAGAACAGAGGTGGGGAACTCCAGGCCTCAAGGACCAGTGTCCTGCAGGTTTTAGATATCAACCTGGGTCAACACACCTAAATCAATGACTAGTTCATTACCAGGCCTCTGGAGAACTTCAAGACATGCTGAGGAGGTAATTTAGCCATTTAAATCAGCTGTGTTGGATGAAGGACACATCTAAAACCTGTGGGACACCAGCCCTTGAGGCCTGGAATTCTCCACCCCTGATGTAGAACGTTACGTATAATAAGAAGTATTCAGTTTTCAATTTAAGGTTCAGGTTTTTTGGTATTGTTTTGTTTTTTTCTAAACACGCAGAAATATATACTGTCACCTGACTTCCCTCTCACCCACAGCAGGGATCATCACTCATCAGTTGACCTCGCTGTTGCCAACATACAAACAACGACAAAGCTTTAACACAGGACTTTTTTTCAAAAAGCTTCTAGATAAAAATATACAGACAGCACTGCAGCACTACTAGGTCTTACTCCCCAGCAAGAGCTCAGTTCAGAGAGTGAAGCAAACCTCTTTTTGTATAGTTCAGTGAGCTGCAGGATGAGTTGCCCAGATTGAGGATGAGCACCATGTGAGATAAGAACATGAAGTTATTCCAGGAACAGCCATACTGCCACCGTGCATTGCATAATCATGTATGAGTGTCCTTGGAAATGCGGTTTTTAGAAACTTTACCTGCATGCTGACATAACTGCAAACAGTTTAACAAATACTGATGTCTATCATGCACAAAAAAAAAAACAAATAACAAGGTTAATACCCATTTGTAGGTATCAAGAATCCATTAAGGCAGCCTGTTAGCAAATGCTCATGGCATGTATGCACTTTTATGTCATAAATGACACAGTGCTCCCATCATTATCAATAACTGAACCCAAACATTAAAACTGTATGTGCTTTACAAATATGGAAGTTTAACAATCACAAATCTAACAACTAGGCATGCACCAATGTTTAAAATGACAATCTTTTTTTCAGTTCAATTTTATTTTATTTATATACATTGAAATAACAACAACAGTCCTTATATTCTAAGGTAAAGACCCCAACAAGACAAAAACCTCAACAACGACAAACGCCTATGAGCAAGCATTTGGAAACAGTGGGAAGGGAAAAAACCCTTTTTAACAGGAAGAAACCAGGACCATGGCTGGGGTTGAGGTTTCACTTTCTTTCATGTTAACCCCTATTGTTTGAGAGAAACAAAAAACAGTGTGATTAAAAGCTTTTAGCTGTATGAGGAAGAACACCGGATGCCCTTCACGATCCAGTCCCAATGGGATTTGTGTTTGATTCTAGTTTTCAAAGTCGTTATCTTTTACTTCTTGGGCAAATCTGTACACCACTACACTATGGAGCAATGCCAATGTCAGTTAACATGGCTAATATCAGTTAGAACTATATATCACTCTGATGGATAAATCTGTGTAGATATATATGGACTAAATACTTAGATTAACATGCCAGTGTCACCATAAAAAGTCAAAGCACCAGATTTTCTGTCTTACCAAGGAGTGGTGGGAAAGGTGGAAGTTTGGGCAGACGAATGAGAGACACCAATTTTCCACCAACAACTGCACAGATGAAGAGTATTGTAATGCCAAAGAGGTTTCCTCCTGGGAGACATTCGTCCTCTGTGATTGACCAAACCACTCCAAAGAGCACAACTGCCAAAAGAACTAGAGAGAACAGGGAATTATGGGGCTGCATTTCTCAGGTAGTTCAATAACTACTGTATACTCATGATCTGCAGTTTTTACACATTCTTGGATGGAAACATACAACAAATGTGCTTTGGAGGACAAATCAGCCTCCTTTTTTACCTTTGGTAATGAGGGAGGCGAGAAAGCCTCTTGGCGGACAGGGGCAAAATCTTCGCAGCAAAGGACAACAGACCACTGGTGGATCTGTGTTGGTACCGGCGTCCACTACGGGGTTACGAGGAATAAAATAAGTGGTCTCCTCTGTTACATTTGGACTTGAGCAGCGACGTACCACCACCTGGATCTGGTTCACATTTAGGTGCTTTAAAAGAAGGATCACAACATGGATTAGAGCAGGTCAGTGTTCACATTGCGGGTGGACAAACTGTTCTGCTAGATGACTTAGCATATTTCTAAAGGCAGCGCATAACAGATGACAAATAAATATGAAATGTGCAGATTAGTGTGCAAATTCGAATTTACTGCTCAACTCCACAACTCGTCATAACATATAGTATAATAACATAAGCATAAATGCAGCATTAACATAACTAGCTAAATAGTGGCATGTGTTTCTGGATTATATTTACTATGTCTTATTTTGCACATCTTCAGTCAGAAGGATACCAGCAGTTTTACAGAGGCATGCCATATCCTAAGTTTACAGACTGCTATACACTTGTGAAATGAACGCCAAAGTGATATGCCCTATAAACTGATAACAATTTCACAGAGTTGCTCAAGGGGTTATGTTGGCTCAAAGTTGGGAGAATTCCTTGAACTGGTTTACAATTCTTTCTCAGAGGAAAAATTAAAAGAAAAAAAAACATCAATAAGGCGACGGTATTAATTTTAATGAACAATATATATAACACAGAATCATTAAATAGAACAACAGGTGCAAAAATTATTAGCAGTAAAATACTAAACCTCCACATGGTTTGGCACAGGCAAAGGAATTCTGTCCAATAGTGGGCTGGGAGCTGGACTAGGCACTGGACTGGGTGCAGGACTCAGGTCCGGGTTTGCAGCTTTCTGCTGGGTGTCCTCCATGGCGGTTGCCTACAATCTTTCTGGTCCACTCTTGTATCACAAGACATCAAGCTGAGGGGTGGGGTTATCCATTAGTGGGCTGTTCTTTTACTTTTCTTTTGGCATGTCCACCTCTATCCACAGGTTTCCATTCATACAATAGGTTTTTATCAGTAAGAAAAAACAAACAGTATCAGTGGTGCTGGTACAAATATTGACATAATGTGAAATGATATGGTTAAATCTCCTACATGCGCATAATAGACTAAACACATGAGTGTTTGGTGTTTAAAAGAAATGGATTTCATTACATTTCACAAATACTGCATAGTACAAGCTATAACGTGTGCAAGCAGCGATCTATCAGGCTAATACACAGGTGGACACATGGGACTGTTGTGGAGAGCTGCTGTAACCCCCCACATCAGTCCCAGTCTCTCGTTCTGTGTGCTGTATGTACTATAAAAATGTGAGTGACTTGTCAACGTTTGTGTATAACAGTGTATAACATTAATATGGTGTTTTGGTGGTTACAAGTACCACATACACAGGAACGCCAAACAGACGCTACTACAATGTTTTGAAACTTGCTTTTAGCGAGCGACAGACGTCCTGTTAATCCAATTGTAAGCAAACCCCGCTAATCAATGCTTACAGCTACACCATATGGCACAGTAGCTAGCGTTAGCTCAAGTAGGTAGGTTACAGAGCGCGGATGCTAAAGCAAGTAGGTTAACGTGCAGCTGTCAACGGCAACAACCCGCTCGCACTGGTATCACTAAACCTAGTTTGTCAACTATCGCCAGCAAATCTTTGAGATATAGGGGTGTATCCATGTTTCATTCACTGTAAACACGTGTATGGCCAAAGCACAGAAGAAACTTTTGGCCATACCATTCAATGGGTTTCACTAGCTGTGGTTCCATTATCAGACATGACCCACTCCTGGGTGTGCACTATCGCCAGCTACCACCGCTCCTTCCGCCACTAGCTATTTTTTCGTTTAATATGGGAGCGTTTCGCAAATATCTGTGGATTACAGCGTTTAGGCTGTGCACAATGTCCTACTGCTAAAGTCAAACAACGACCCTAATTTCTTTAAACGTTAAATTGACGGCCGAGGTTTTCTAACTTCGGTTTATACAATCAAGCTGGATTTTACTTTTCAGTCAACTGGACCAGCAAGTATGGGGGCTAGTTTAATCTCCACCACCCTGACAGCTGGTTCTTGTCCGATATTTGATGTCCTACTGTCCAGTAGCTGCTTATGCCTGTGTACCGCCTACTAAAAGCTGACAGTGCACCCAACCTTTTATGCAGATAGCTAGCAAGCGACCGCCTCTGACAAAAATTACCTATTAATTATAGAAGAAAAAACGCGCTCACCTCATATCGTAAACACCAGAGCATGCGGGCTGTCTGTGGCAGCTTTTCTCGTAGGCCTGCAGCAGATGCACCAGCTGGTACACGAGGAATGAGGCGGATTAGTGACTGCCAAGCAAGTATGTAGCGTCCACAACGGTGCATGGAGAACTTGGGTTACTTGGAAAACTGGTTTGCTTAACATCTTGCACATAGCTTTTGTTTCACTATTATGCACAGAGTAATGCACAGTAATGGAAAACGGGAAAGGTTTAAAGTTGATTACACACTTCTGTACATTATTTATAGTTTGAATTTAGGATGACAAATATATTTGCAGCATTGGTTTCAGTTGCAAAACAAGACATTTTTCCATAAAATATGCAATATTACTGATATTTTTTTCTTATTTTATAATAATAATTTTTTAAAAATTATACATTTATGACAACTTTATTTGAATTCAAGGTTTGGATTCCACTTCTGTAATGATGTAGTCCTTCCAGTTTCCTCACAGTCTCCAACCTCCATCGATGATGTGCTCTGTCCCAGTCACATAGGCTGACTGTGGAGGGCCCAGACAGTTTAAAACCACTGGTAAATTACTTTACTGACAAAAATATCTACAGCTTTCTCTAGATATGTGTATTCCTATGATACCTACACTCTATTCATACTATTATTATACCTCCTGAATTACATCTGTGCAAGCACTCACCTCATCTGAGGCCAGGTATACGCACAGGTGTGCAACCTCTTCGGCTGTGCACAGCCTGCCAGTTTTCTGTCTTGCCATAAAGTCTTTATAAGCCTGTAAATGACTTATAATTGGATCATTCATTATCTTCATCATCCAGTCATCATTATTTAACATCGTGTAAATAAAGATAACATATAACACATAGTACATGAATCACGCAGGCATTACTGTCAGGTTGGCGAAAATGTACATCAAAGCCTGCAATACCTGTTCTGGGTCGGGCTGAGCCTGGATCCTACCCCTCAGTGATGGAGTATCAACAGTCCCTACAGAAATAGAAAGAGAGCAAGCCTAATGAAATGTTTATTAAAAGACAAGAGTTAGTTAAGAAATTATGGTCTTTGGCTAAATGAACATTTTTCTATTAATAAGTATCAAATACGATTGGGTTGGACTTGGATGTGATGTATATAAATAATCAAAATAAAAGTATACACAGCATCTTTTTAGACCGGCTCTTAAGCCAGTGTGCCCTAACATGAAACAACCTTCAGCTAAAACACCCCATCAATTTAGTTTAATTTCAAGGACGTTTACAGTATACTTTGAGTATCACTGAGGAAGACTAAAAACACATGGTGATATGGTGATTTGTTGCACTGTGTTCTAACCTTACCAGGACAAACACAGTTACAGCGAATGCCTTGCTCAATGAAATCCGCAGCTATGGACTTGGTGAGCCCAATCACTGCAGCCTTGGAGGTACTATAGACACACCGATTAACAACGCCTGTGTTGAGGAAACACATCTGTCACTCACACACAGCCACACGCAGGCAAAGCATTTATCTGAGATAAGAGGATTGCAAAGACTGGCCAAACTTCAAAGACATCGTGTCCCTTTAAGTAGGAATAGTTCTACAAGCAACTGCAATAAAAAAAAAAGATCTGAGGAAGATCGTTTACCTTTTATGCTTGATGCAACAGATGCCATGTTAATAATGTTTCCCGACTTCTTTGCCAACATCTAGAATGACAAATGGCATATTAACAGAACTGTTTTGGTTGAATCCAGATTAAAACTACACAAACAAAGCAATAAAAAGTGCCGAGATCTGCGCTAAAGGTACAGTTTGGCAGTTTGGTTAGTTTGCAGCTAAAGCAGGATTAGTAGCTGAGCAGTCCTCACCCATCATGTCATGGGTTCACAGTGGTACAGTTAATGCAGCTAATCCAACAACGGATGAGAACAAAATTAAAGGCATATGTCACACTATTATCAGTAGCACCTATTACATTCACGGGATAAATGGTGTTAAGAGTTTGGTGAAGTGGCCAAAAGTCACCTTAGGCAAGAAAGCCTTGCTCATCAGGTACATGCTCCGCACATTGACATTCATTGTGAAGTCCCAGTCATCCTCTTCACAATCCAAGATGGTGCCATGATGCACAAATCTGTGTACGAGCACAGACATTTAGTGGAAAAATAGCCTCATCTAATAACTTTAGACAGCATTAATATGACAATTTGGACAAACAGTGAGACACAAGTGACAATATCTGTACCTAATAACTTAATCAAAACCAGAGTGGTAAACTACTGCCATTTCAAGATAAAACTCAAAGGTGATAATGTAGAAGAAACCTGTTAATAAAATTGAGAAAAGGGGAGAGGGGGTTATGTATGTATGTTATGGGGTTCTGGAAATGTAATTAAGTAGTAAGCAGGAGACAGATGGGTGAATTAGAAAAGTGTAACTTCAATTTTATCTTTTTTCTCCTTTTGCGGTCACCACAGCAGATCATCCAACTGACATCACATCTTATTCCTAGCTTCCACCTATGTCACACCAACACTGCATGTCCTCCTTGACTTCATCCAAGAACCTCATCTGTGTCTTTTTTTCCTCCTTGCTGGCAACATCCTCTGTCCACTGTCCCTCCTCTGCACATCTCCAAACCATCTCAGCCTAGACTTTCTAACTCTGTCTCCAAACCGTTCGACCTGAGCTGTCCCTCTGATGTACTCAGTTCTAATATTACCCATCCTGTTCACTCAAAAATCTGAGCATCTTTATTACCATCTTTTGAACCTTTTCTTTCACTCTTGTTGCTATCCTTCTGTCACAAATTATCCCTGACACTTGTCTCCAGCCACTCCATGCTCCTGCAATCTCTTCTTCACCTCTCTTGTGCACTGTCCATTGCTTTTGATGGTTGAACGCAGGTATTTAAACTGATCTACCTTCACTACCTTCACTTGCATGTTCACCTTTCGACCTGTGTCCATCTAATTCACATGTATTCTGTATTTAAATAATCATAGTGCACAGTATCTCCTGTCTGACCTCATCTGTCATCCTGTCCATCACCACTGCAAACAAGAAGGGGCTCAGAGCTGATCTCTAATGTAATCCCACCCTTACCCTGAACCCATCTGTCACTCCTACTGCACACCTTACCGCTGTCTCGCTGTCCTCTTACATGTCCTGCACCACCCTCACATACTTCTCTGTCTCTCCTGACTTCCTCATGGTTAAAAAGAATAACTTAACGTTTATTTGAAACTACAAGTAAAATGCACAGTGACTCCTGATTTAGGAATTCTGGTTTTGACATATTTTTTTCAGTTTTCTACTTTAATCTGTTGTCAACAATAACTCACACGAATTTACTTCCAAAAATGGTGTAAATTACAGCTTTATTTGTTTTAAAAAGGTTACTTGATGTGGAACTTCTAAATACCACACATTTTGTTTTTCCAAGAATTATGTAAGGTTTTTGTTTCTTCAGTAAATCAGAGAAATAAAAACCAATTTAAAAAGTACCCAGCAACGTTGAACAGAACATCTACATGGTCATGTTCCTTGGCCAGGGCTTCTACTTGGTCCTTCTTGGTCACGTCCACCACTTTGGTCCTGATCCCTGACACCAAAAACAAAAACAAGGACAGTTTAGATTATACTTGCACTGCTTTTGTCTTCATAACAGCTGGCTTTATTTTAGTGCATGAAATAATTCAAGATATAGCAGCTTCATTTATCAATCATTTTCACAGTTACACAGCAAAACAATGGTCCTGGCTGCTATCTTCTTCAACATACATCTTTTCCTACTGAACGCTCAATGGCTCTGCAGAAAGCCAGTTAAGAGGGTGAAGTGCTCAGGCGTGATATCAGAAGAAGAATGTTGCTCACGTCCTATTTATTCAAACTCATTTACTGTAGAGACCAGAATAAATAGAGATATGGTTCTCTTCTCACAGTCTTGAAGAAAAGACAATTAAAACCCATATAAAGCCTTTTAAAACTAATATATGATATGCACACCAGAAATGAGATAATCTGGTTTTTTTTTCTTTTTAAAATTACCACAGTGCAATTTCAATTTCTCTAACAGAGATACATTAAATGGCTCTTGTAAAAAAAACAACTTCACTCTGGGGAAAGCACAGGTGTTATGCATTTATACTAATTAGCTGCTTTGGCCAAAATGAGAGAAATTAGTAGAATGCATGCATTGCTTCTTCCACTTATCTGGTGCCGGTAACCTAAGCAGAGAACCTAGGTCCTAGGCTTTATAGGCTAAAACCTCCTCCCAGTCAGACAATCCCAGAAAACCTCCCTCACGGTGCACCCAGGAGGCATCTTTGTCAGATACCCGAACCATCTCAACTGGCTCCTTTCGATGTGGAGGAACCACGGTTTTAATCTAAGCCCCTCTTGAATAACTGAACTTCCCACCCTATCTCTAAGTACAAGCTATTTCAAAGTAATCAAAATTTTAAAACTTTGCATCAAATAATTAAGTTGTGAAAGAACTTGAATGAAGGGATAGGAGTAAACTGGCATCCCTTTTGCAATGCCTCAAATAGCCAGAAGATGGCAGTCATAGATCAGCAGAGATGAAACTTGCCTTGAATACCATCCAGCTCCTTCAGCTTTTCTCCATTTATGTCTGTGGCTGTGACCTGAGCTCCCTCCTTAGCAAATGCCTACAGTTTAAAAAAAATAATCAGTGTTCAGTTCCAAGTGGTTCCTCAATGTTCTACATGCTGTGCTATAAAATTTAAGGAAAAATTTGCAATTATGATGATTGGTTATGACACAAAACCGAAAAGAGAAGGACACCGAGCCACAGACACAACTGAGCAGGAATCTAAATTGCTGTACGAATGGACGAGGGCACTCCAACTACAGGGAATAATTCAGATCATCAATACCAATCAATATCTCATTATCAAGCATCTGAAAGCAGACTGTCAATATCCATCCACAGTTCCACAACTCTTCTGAAATCCATTCAACTTCCCATCAATAAGGCAGGTTTTTAAAGTGCAAAAGACCCCTTATACCATTTGCATCTTTTAACTTTTAGGTTGAATTCCTCCAATAAAAACCCAGTTCACTGTAATACAAGGCACCTTTGCACACTTTAAGATCACTTGGAGGGAACAGATGTAGCGATGGTCCAAGCCAGTGTGTGAGATTTTCAAGTGTGTCGTTATCTCTTTGGCAAGAATATCCCTAAAGGACGGTCCTGAACCTTTGCTTCCATTAACTCAGGAATCACTATTACAGCAGTCATTTACAGGACATTAGGTGACATGCTTAAGTGTTTCTATACATAAGGAAGTTGGAAGAAACATGTTTTAAATTACATTAAGAAAAATTACATCACGGGACTTCTTAAAATCTTTAACTCTAAACAGTATATCCTATATTAGTTAATCTATATTTAATACT